AGCGGCGAACATTTTCACTGTGCACTTCTTCAGCTGCACGGCGATCTGCTTCGACCGCGGTAGGTCCCAGAAAGAATCACCGAGCTGAACACTACGCAATTTCACGTAACACAGAACTTCGAAAACACCACGTCGCCCTTGCTGCGCCAGTCGAGGCCACCGCCATCTTGAAACTGGTGCTCTCGTTGGGTCCGAGATCTCTCGAGAGCGTCCCGCAAGGCCCGCTAGCCAGCAATGCAAAATCCCCAGCGTTGCGTGCTTACGCAATACGCTAGCCATTTTATTGCGTTCTGCGCATGCGCACTCACGACCCGCAATTTCCTTGCGTACGCAAGGAAATTGACGACTGAGCTACAATAACTGTCTTTTATCCGCGGCTAGTTTGGTTGTCTGAACCATAGTCTTACTTGGAACGACAAGCTGTGTTTCACCCGGGAGCTGGTTGCGCGTGCTTCTCTCGGATCCTCTTTTTCTTCGCGCCAAGGTGCGCGGGTGCCGGCCGGCGTTGGGTGTTGAGTGCTGTCGTCTGTTGGACATTTGTCCAGGTACCGGGGAATTAGAACAGGGTGGATTAGGAGAATAACGGCCATAGACAGCAAATTTAGTGCAGGCACAGAGCGACATGCGGCCACTGGCGAGAAACAGTGGACAAGGACAACACGAACGGAGATCACTGCGAGGGGAACATGTCTGTGGCAAGAGGCAATGAAGAAGAAGCGGTCGCTCGCCCGATATCGGGAACACAAGAGTGCACCAGCTCCCTACCACCACTATCCGGGAGACAGAGCGAGCGCCCTTCTTTTCCAGGCCCGGACCGGCGCACTGCTCACGCGGAAAAGAAGACAAGAGCTCTTCGGGGATGACGCGACGTGCAGACTATGTGGCCTCGGGGACGAGGACATCAATCACATCTTCGGCCAGTGCCCGCGTCTACAACCAAGCGAAACGGCAGGAAGGGCCATCGACGAAGTCCTGGGCCTGGTGAAACACCCAGAACACGAACAGCGGCAGAACACAGGACCACCACAGCCGCTGCTTCAACAACGCGAGGCAGAGCTGGTGGAAGCGACGAAGCGTCACCTAGCAAGGTGGGAAAAGTGTTGCCGCGCTGCTGAGGAGTCCGAAGCCAGAGCCCTCCGGGCCCCAGCGAGCCAGGACGACACAGAGCCCGCCCACCTCAAAAACTTTCATTGAGGTCTGCGCATCAGTTGTCCGATGTCGTGACTCCACGGAGACCGCGGCGGCTGTTGCGACTTGTGAGAGTCTGTGACCAGTGTTGCCGCTGTGGCGCTGTAGTGTCGCCGTGTAGCGGACGAACGGGTCACATGGGAGCCAAGCCAAGTCAGACCGTCTGGAGTTACGGGCCAAGTGGTGGACACAAATTTTTGGTGGTTTCTCTTTTTCTGTTATTTTTCTTTCTTAACGTCATATCAACAACATTTTTTTCTTTTTAACGCGCCTGCGACGTTCCTTTCGGAGCGACCGCCCTGATGCGAAAGGGTTTTGGTGCAACTGAATACTGAATACTGAATACTGCCACAGGAGCTCCCCCCTAGCCACGGGACAGTTTAGCCGTTGCGTGGAACGACGCTGCGGAGGCGGGTTAGCGTCAAGGTGGACCCTGTTGACAGGTGATTTTCGAGCCGGTGCTGTAGCTGCACTGGTTTTTGGACGTGTTATACTTGAGTTGTCTATCTCAGTTCATGTGACAGTATGCGAACATGTCAAGTTATCTGATTCTGCTTCAGAGGTATTGGCCATGTGAGCAGGTTTCAGTCGATCGAGGGATACGGTACCTTCTTTTCTATTGTTGTCAAGTTTGTAATATTTGGGTGCTCGCGCAATTACCTTGAAGGGTCCTGTGTATGTAGGTTGTAGTGGTCGTCGCACTGCGTCGTTGCGCACAATTACGTGGGTTGCCGTTTCCAGATAGGGGCTCACGAACACTTGCGATGTGGCTTGGTGTGGCTTGCGAAAGGGTACCGGTTGAAGAGATCGTATCACGGTTTTAAGCCGTGCAACGTAGTCAAGGGGATCCGGTAACTCGGTGTCTGGTGATGCCACAAAAAAATCGCCTGGTAGTCGGAGTGAAGATCCGTAAACCAGCTCTGCGACGCTGCAGTTGGTGTCCTCCTTTAGTGTTGTGCGGAGTCCTAGAAGGATCATAGGAAGGGTTTCTGTCCACGCCGTATTATCTGAAGCTTTTAGTGCCGTTTTCAGTTGCCGGTGGAATCTTTCGACGAGGCCATTGGAAGCAGGATGGTATGCTGTCGTCGAGATATGGTTAACGCCGAGCAGTTGTGAAAGTTTCGCGAATAATCGGCACTGGAACTGTCGGCCTCTGTCCGTTGTAATTTTTGTCAGCACACCAAAGCGACTTATCCAGGTGGAGAAGAACGCTTTCGCGACCGTCTCCGCAGTTACGTCTTCGATGGGGCAGACTTCAGGCCAACGTGTAAATCGATCAATGCAGGTTAATAAGTATCGATGTCCTCCTGACGGAGGAAGAGGACCGACGATGGTCGATGTGGAAGTGTCCGAATCTTGCCTCTGGAGGATTAAAAGATGAGATCGAAGTCGTTATGCGCCGATGAATCTTGGCTCGTTGACACTTCAGGCATGTCGAGCCCAGTGGCGAACATCTGTGTTCATCCGGGTGTCACACACCTCTATGTACAAACGCAAATTATCTTTTTTTAGTGTAATACAGTCAGCGAGTGGAATAGAGGAGAGGGAGCGCCGCAAGGGAATGCATTCTTTTCCCTCCTCCTCCAAAAAATCGTCCTTACCCCACCTCTAACTTCTGGTTGGCGACGGAGACCCCCTCTGGTAGAGCACTGCACGGGCCGGAATTTCTAGGCCCGGCCCGACCCGGCCCGGTAGAGACACGGCCCGGGCCCGGCCCGAGCCCGACAGAATATTTTATTTCTAGGCCCGGCCCGACGCGGCCCGGTAGAGACACGGCCCGGGCCCGGCCCGAGCCTGATAACATTTTCAAATATGAGCCCGAGCCCGGCCCGAGCCGGAAAACTGGGACCGAGTTTTTTATACCATAGATATGTCGACTTAGAATATGTATTGTCGAGAGTATGGGTGAAATATGCACATCATTTGCGACAGTCTTTGAACTCATGGCATATCGACAATCCTTGAGACACAAGTGGGGAATTTTTTATTTATGAATTTATTGAAGAGATATTGTACTTTTCGTTGTTCTATTCAATTCGTTTAAGAGAAATTTCCTTCCTACATATTTTTGTGGAGAAACAATAAATTGTTCATGGACTCTTCCTTCAGGCAGGTCCGTCTTGCTTGCACTATGTAGCCCGGCGCGCTAAAGTTCCCTTCGCTGCTAGCACTTGCAGCAGGGATGCACAGGATGTGCTTGAATAGAATGGACAGTTTCGGGAATTCTTTCTCGCGCGCTCTCGAAAAGTCACAATTCTCAGACACTCCTGAGCACGAGTAGTCTTTCTTGCCGTGTAGATACTCCTCTATTATTGTTAACAATTTAAACTTTACGGCACACGACTGACCAGGCACGGCCCGGGCCGGCACAGGCCGACGCGGCCCGAAAATATTTTTTTTCAAGCCCGAGCCCGGCCCGGGCCCTAAAAAATACGTGCTACCCGGCCCGAGCCCGGCCCGCGGGCCGGGCCGGGCCCGGGCTTTCGGGCCGGCCCGAGCCCGTGCAGTGCTCTACCCTCTGGTCTCCGTCGCAAGCATCTCGATGTCTCGGTAAGCTCGAGCGGCGTAATGACGGTGTGTAAACTGTTCTCGTCATAAAACTGTGGCAACGACCTCATTAAGAGCCCGCATTCACATCGACCGCCCTGAAGCCGCTCTAGGTCTGTTCGTCCAAACGTGGATGCCAAAAGTGCTTTGGATTATCGGTCAGTGTCTCGTGAGTGCCTGTCCGCCCCTTCGGCCTCACAGGAATCGCAAGTCGTTTTTAATCACCATATGAAACCGTCAAATCGCAAATATATTCTCCACGATTACTCTCCCACCGAGACGCCAGAGGCGGAAAGGTTAAGAGGGAAAGGGAAAAACGCACATGACGGGTGGGAAAGGGAGAAAACGCACCCTTTGTGAGATTACTGAGTGGCTTCAAGGAGGAAAATGCAACAAAAGCAACTGCTTCTTAGCCTCCCTTTGTCCTTTTTATTGGGTCAACCAAAAGCGAATAGCGCACCCCCCCCTCCCCCCCCCCCCCCCCCCCCCCCCCCCCCCCACCCCCATGCAGGGTGAACCGCCTTCACCTGCTTGGCCGAAGGGCTCCTGTCCGGCGCTCTCCGGGTCTGTCCGGCACTTTCCGGGTCCGGGAAAAGTTCAATATATTAATATTTTCACCCCCCAAAGCGGACCCCCAAAACGTCACCTTCACGCGGCCGTTGACGTACCTCCTCTGCACCCCCCCCTCCCCCTTCCTTCCTTCCTTCCTTCCTTCCTTCCTTCCTTCCTTTCTTCCTTCCTTCCTTCCTTCCTTCCTTCCTTCCTTCCTTCCTTCCTTCCTTCCTCCCTCCCTCCCTCCCTCCCTCCCTCCCCCGGAGTTTCCGGGAGCCGTTTTCGCCGTTTTCCGGGTTGGTTTGGACCGTCCTTAAATCCTCATTCGTATAGAACCGGTGGATTTACGAAAGCGGTAGAAAACGTTTAAAAGCAATTCCTAAAACTAGTAGACAACGCCGGTGTTCGGTGTCGCAAAGACTGACCCTGACGCCACCGCTCCCTCTGCGCGAGGAGCATTCGACGACCTCTCTGGCTTTCATAGGAGGGAGAGAATGGGTAGAGACGAAGGGCGCTAGCCTCTGCGTCTACCCACTATTCTTTTAACGAGAGCTCCGCACCCTGACGTCACCGCACTCTCTCCGCAAGGAGCAGACGAACCCTCACGCCGCACAAGTTAGAAGATTATAAAGTTAAAAAGCTTTACAATCCTTAAAGTCATTATAACAAAAGGCTCACTAGCCAAAATAATTACATATGTGCTCAGTACATACCCGTAAGTGTGGAAGGAAGCAACGTAGTTGAAGTGCGTGATTTCTACGGCCTTTGGGAGCCCTGTGGTGCCCGACGTGTAGGCCAGCGCCATGAGGGTGCGCTCCGGGTCCGGTACAAGGATCTCTTGGAATTCTGACTCCTTCCAGTGGGAAAACTTGGAGGCAGACACGAACCCCTCGGCAACCCCCATCACGAAGAGGCCCTGAAATGCGCAATCAATTCCTAGGAATTCTATTACGTATAAAAGTCCTAATATTGTTCCTTCTTAGAAGTCACGCAGTAGTAATGTGCCTCTCAATAAGATCACGTAAAAGATATTCATACACAATATTAACATTATTTGCTTTTATACAATGGCAGGATTAGCTGTACCCACCTTGAACGGAGCCACCGCATGCACATTGCTAACTTTTTGGACAAACTTTTGGTCGGTCAATATGTGCACAACGTCGGCGTCTTTCACTTGGTAATGGAGTTCTCCTTTGAACAAGCAAACACAATGGTCACAGTTAGATTAGAAGAATGAAGCACTTCATTTTGTATTTAAGCCGTACGAACTCAACACCGCACACCGAAGATGACAAGAGATTTAAAACGGATGTCAGGTACCATAGGACGACCACTAGCCAAATCTGTATGGCTTACCCTAGAAGGGCTTGCTTCCGACAATTTCGCTATAATGAGCTATTTCGCATTAAAAAGCGCTAGTAAAAGACACTACGTCGTTGTTTCGAGTAAAATGGGACAAATATTTTAAATCTAATCTTAAACACAAGCAGAAATCGAAACCGAAACTTCGGCTCCGTCCGGCAAGATTGGCCTCGGGCCGATAAGCACATGGCTATCATGTGGTACGAGATGTCGCGTGATCCTCATCGCAACGACCGGCGGGATTGGGGCGGGCGTGTGCGAGGCGAAAGTGTCGTCTGCACCGCACTCCTCACCACGTTTTGGTGTCTACGACATTCGACGACGTTTGCACGATTGCGGTATAAGTCTGCGTATGTAGTGTCAGTATTGTAAAAAAGACTCCGAGAGACAATGATCATAAACGGTGAGACGACGACGGCGGTTGTGACGCGGGAGATGGCGGTAAAGGCGGGACCACGGCGGGGCGACCGGACGGCTCCCAAGACGCTCGACCGCAGGCGCGTCAAGAGGAAACGTTGCTGACGTCACCCGTTTCGCTTGCCCGGAGAACAGAAAACAAAGCAAAAGAGGGAAACGGTGATGACGTCTAACTCAATAGCGAGTTTTAGTAGACCGTGTTTCCCGCTCCGCTAAGCCCCTCCGCTATTCGGAACTCTACAGCCAAGGCCATCGGCGCGCAGGCGCAGTGGCGGTTTTTTCGTAGCGGAGGGCTAGCGGAGCGGGAAATACGGTCTACTAAAACTCCCTAATGTTGGCTACGCCAACGCCGTAGCCTTGACTGCGCTGTTGGTCGCGTCTTAGACCGTTGCAACTAAACAAACTGCGCCGGCGCGCGCATTTCGGAAGTTGTACCGCCGCCATGCTACTTGTAGTCATAGTCATCCCTTTCTGGCTTCCCCGCTACATAGGGCTGCGCATACATCATCGTAGACTATCGTTCGGGACGCCCCGGTATCAGCTTGGTTCTGCTACATGTCTGTACTTCATACGAGTGTGTTGCTTGTGATGCCTGTTTGTCAGCAAGCGCAGAAAAGCAGAGGCCAGATTCACGAAACGATCTTACGCCAAAAATGTGCGTAAGACAAAACGTAAGAATAAATTCGTATTCACGAAACGAAATTATCGTAAGTTTTGAGCAGGTTACGACAAAATTTTACGGCAGCTTCGAAGCTGTCTTACGCACTTTTTACGATCAAATCCGCTTGGTCGACAGCGTCGCTCAGTTACTTGGTCGCGACGACCAACGGGCGTTTATTTTTCTACGTGCACTTCTCGCGCGTCCAGACTTTAAGCAGCAAGAAAAAAGTAAAAAGTTCTTGAAACGGACCACGACGAACAAGAACGCTGGATCCACGAACAACCGGGAAAAGCGCCAACGGCCACGACTCCACCGACCAAGCGAGCTCGGAAGAATATAGGCTTAGCAGGCACACCAACTCTGCGCAGCGTTGCTCCGACGGTCCTTGGCCAAGACCGTCTGCCCACGACCGGCTGGCGTGCTGAATGGCATATACCCGTGCGACCCTTGTGGACCCTTCCCGTATTATAGTTTGATCGCTGACCTCAATTTTAGATTAGGTGCTCAATCTCCTCCCCTTGTCATCTCCATGTTTTCCGAGGCAGCGGTGACGAACGCTGTCGTCGAAAAGGGACTCTCATCGATTTTATCTCCTTGTTTTGTGTGATATAGAGCTCAAATGAACGCCGTATCAATTGCCTTCGCAACACGGTATGTTCACTTTGTTATTAGTATGCCGTTTTTATTCTGACACTACTGCACGTCACTGTCGAACTATAACAGTTCGTGGGAGCTACGCCATGCCGGTCCAACCTTTCTTTGCCGAGTGTCACGTCAGTATCGAGTTGCAATCGTAAAATATCGGTCCCGAAGCGCTTACCAATTCGCGGTCTAACAGCGCAAATCCAGCACTTCGATCAAACGCGCGCGTCCGCTCCGAGTGTGAGCAGGTATTTACGTGGCTCTTGCTGACACTCTCGTAGTTCAAACGTATATTTTTTTTTTTAACGTCGGATCGCTCCTGCATTTTCGAGGCCGCGAAAAACGCCGCGGCGATTTGTTTCCATCTACGTCACTTTGCAAACGACTGGCACGGGCAGTATTTCCATAACGACGACAGTTCTGTTGACTTCGTAGCGATGGAGTTTGTAGCAGTCAACGGAGGTGGTTACGCATCCCGGCTTCGGCATTCGGGCGCGTTTAAATTGTGTTAGCGTCGACATATCACTGCGCGGACACGAACCCCTGACAAGCGGTGGCCGAAAGGCCGCCTGTGTTAGTTAAAAGTCCACGTGCTCCGAACTGCTTCGAACCATGCTGAGCTCTCCGATTGGTTGTTCGTGCTGCCGAAGACGCCGTCACCATACCAACAGCACCGGTAAGTTCTAGTTTTTTCGTACGAGAACGTCGCTTTCCTCCTTTCACTTAAAGGGACACTGACACCCCCCAAAATTTTTTTTTTATTTTTTGCCAGGCGCTTTATTATGGTGTCGGAGGACTACCCACTTAATATTTTGCAACAGAGTATATTTTTTTAATAAAGCCAAAAGACGCAACTGCTCGAAACCGAAACCGAAACCCGACAGGAGGTCGGAGAAGTGGAGAGAAGAGAGCGAGTGGCGGAAGTCACGTGGCTACACCCGACCGTGCGTTTTTTTTTTTTTTTCTCCTCTCCGGTAGCAGACGACACGACATGCGGCAACACCTCCTAGAAGATGTTGCATGCGGCGTACGGGAACTGTTCGCCGTGCGATTCTTTTGCAGTTATGTTTGTTCCGCTCGTTGTTCTGTACTCCAAGATGAGTTGTTTTGTACATTGAGGAGTTGGAGATGAGTAGTGAGTGCCCGTGGTGATTTCCATGATCGGCTCCGAAAAGAATACACCCAAGATGTTGCGTGAAGAGCTGGCTCACATGTCCTGCGTCCTAAAAAAAAGGGGCATTGTGCGACAGAGTTTCCGAAAGATCAACGGGATCGGGACCAATGGCTGGCTGCAATTCCTATTGAACATATACGGGCACCTCGGAAAGCGGACGCTACCTGATTTATATGCTCCTTGCATTTTGTGGAAAGCGATTGAGTTCGCAGGTTTCAAAAAGGAAATCCCATACCATTTAATTCAGCGAAGTGTCGTCCATAACATTTGTTTGTTATTTTTTTTGTTTGTTTCTTCAGTGATAATTGTAAAAAAAAAAGATACGTAAACATCGGAAAATTATTGAAAAAAAAAAAAAGGTTACACGGGAGATCGAACCCGGTCCTACCGCGCGTGAAGCGGACGTCTTTCCTACTGAGCTACTAAGGCAACTCCTTACTAGTGGACCTCTTTCCTTAGTAATAATTCAGCCAGTAAACTGCAAGTTGGAAAGTTTGATGCCGATTTTCCTCTAGCAAAAGCACTCCCGGGTCGAAGTCGGGAAGCACCACGCATTGGCGACATTCGCACCAAGTAAAGAAATCGTACGCGTGCACATTCAACTCGAAGTGGACACGTCGTGCTTGACGTTTGCGCGAGCGATGTCTTCAGCCACGAGAAGAGAGCGACGGCTCGGCGACGTCTTCGTGCAAATCGGCTTGGTGGTCGGGCGAGTCGCACGGGATGAATACCAATTCTTTTGATCAGTCCCAAATTTCTCTTTTAAAGGTAGACAGAATTCGCCGGTACCGCGAACGACAGTTCTAAAATAGAGGTCCCACGCCGTCCCCACGCGTCCCACGATACGCGAAACGACGAACGCACAGAATGCTTCCGGTTGTCAGTGGAACTTTTTTTTTTCAATCAACGTATTTGCAGCTTATTAGAAGCCACAAAAAATGGGTTTCATATTTTTTTTTCTACTTTTAATATTGAATGTGTGCCTTCAGTGACCCACGATTAAATTATTAAAACTTCGATTAAATTTGGTGGTCGCATCGATACCTTAGAAAACGGCCCGTGACCGCGGAAAAGAGAGTGAGCGAGACTCGAACCGGCCAGTTCTTGATCGGCGGTTTTCGGGCGGAAAGAAACCGAATTTCGAGCCGCAAATTCTGTTATGGGTAGTTGACCTCTCATATGTCACGTACAACTAAAAACCTCGGCGAGCATAAATACCCTGTCAGTGTCCCTTTAAGAACGCGTTCGTGAATACCGATTTCTCCTCTTCTTACGATGTTCATAACTTACGAACTTCTCAGCTAAGTTGTGGTAAACTAAGAAGCTCTTCGTGAATCTGGCCTCTGTTCCAGTCGTCTTATTGCCACGAATGACAAGTGAACAAAGAAAATAACTGAAAGAACTGAAACGTTTAATGGTGCGAACTTGTGCCCGAAAATAGAAAGGAAACAGAAGATAACGGCAGAGCGCCGAGGGCGTCGAAGTCGGCGTAACAGCAGATTCGAACGCTTGGGCAAAACTGACTCCGGCTGGCCACGCGGAGCCCCCTTGTATACGCGTGGGCTTCTGGAACAATCGGCGTAGAAGGTTCGGCGTGCAGAACATTCTAACCTCGAATCAGCCCCAACACGGTTCTCTAATTTACCAGAACATTACATTAGAGTCAATAAAAATCCGTACCCGCGGCCAGGAATCGATCCCTGGCTTTCTGCGTGGAAGGCACGCGCGATAACCGTTAGGCCACGAGCGTGCTGCCTACTTAGTCAGCTGCACTTGCGGCATTATTCCCCGCTTTAAGAAAGTGTATCGTCCCGATGCAGCACAAAACGAAGACAAAAATACACAACAAAAGGATAGCAGAGTCGCGAGCCCCAGGCCACAGTTCACTCCTTGACGAGAGTCCAAAGTTCTATCGTTCGTAATACGGCTTAAGCC